ATACTTGTGTACAAGTTGACCTCATGTATAAGTTGAGGGAAGGTTTCAAGGTCAAAATCCTGGATTTTGAAATGACCTGTGGATAAGTCAAGGGTAAAACCTAGTGGGCTATAAGGATGGATGGAAAGAGGGAAATAGCACTTCCGTCCTTCCTTCTGCAGACCTCTCCCAACCAATTCCCAGGTGCTGGAAAAGAGGTTTTAACATCGAATTGAGAAGGGAAGCAAGTGAATTTAAATTGAGTTTTTTCCATAGGAAGCAAGGTCTTGCAAAACACACTGGGGAGGGAAGAAATTGGTGTTAAATGGAGATTGGGGCATCAACTTGCTTGTTTTAGGACCTTTCTAAGCACTACTGGTGTATTGACCCACATATGTCGACCCAGGATTTTAGGGTTAATTTTGAGGCATAAATTTCTCGACTTATAGTCAAGTATATATGGTAATTAGTGGCCACCAATTTTAACAACTATAACTAGTATGGCTATAGATCTCCAAAAATGTTTTATACAGCAGAAATTACTCTTTCAGGTCACCAAAACACCTATTCAAGAAAGGGCATTCTAAATCAGCAAATTGTTGCATATGTAATACTCCTAATGCTTCCTTAACACATACATTTTGGCACTGTCCCATAGTAGATACATTTTGGAAGAAAGTAACTGCATGAGTAAATTTGCTTTTGGAAAGTTCCTTGATATTCAGGGATGTTCTTTGGAATTATTTACCTGTTTCTTGGAAATTAACAAATAGCCAACAGAAGTGGATTTTTCATGCCTTTTTGACTGCTATAAGATTGATGGGAATCTTAATGGAAACCTAATTTTTCCCCACCTGTGATCCAATGGATAGAAAACAGAAGTTACATTTGTGCACAAACTCAAATTACTGACCTTCCTGTAGTTTTGTTCATAGCTGATTCTCGTCCCTGCCTCTGTAGTTCTGTTCTATAGGCAAGTATACGAGCATTGCAAACCATCAGGTTTTTAACGGCATGCAAAAGTTGATCCTTTTGTGTGCTCACAGCAAGCAGTTTACAAATTCCTTCTCGCATTCGCATTTCAAAGTCAATTTTTTCTTGAAAGCTGCAGTCCTAAATGTCAAAACATAAAATAGTTCTCAGATAAACTTCAACAACACACTCTGTCCTCATCCCAACCAGACATTAATAGTCAGTCTCTTTCTCTTAGAGCCTTTACAGACTGCCAGAAATAATGCAGCTTGATGTTACGGTACTTTAACTGTCCTGGCTCAGTGCTAGGGAATCATGGGAATTGTATTTTTTTTTCCTGGGACATTGAGCCTTCTCTGTCAGAGCGCTCTGGTGCCACAATAAACTACAGTTCCCATGATTCCTTAGCACTGAGCCAAGACAGTTAAAGTGGCCTCAAGCTGCATTATTTCTGGCAGTCTGTAAAGGCCCTTAGTTGCCATATTCTCATTCTCAAACCCATACTGGTTATGACTGGACTATGAAAACTTGATTAAAGAATATAAATTATTATGATTTATTGAAGATTATGAGCATGTGTCTTTGATATACTGTAAAAAAAATTTAAATCACAGCATGTTATTTAAGAAATCAAATGTTTGTACTATCTGAAGACCAACCAAGACTTCGCCAATAATACCTTGCCTATGTACTGCAAATTAAATTGCACAAGGTTGTATTCCAGTCAACACTTGATAATCATGAATGAGTGGGATTTTTTATTTATTTATAAATATAACAACATTTTAGGACTATGACCATATTTTAAGGTGCATCTCGCAGTTTGGATTCAGAAATTCTGTCCCAAATCTGCGGAAGGCTTCTGATTCAGTGGAACAATTCCAGTGACAGAAAAGGAGAAGAGACAATCTTCACTGGTCCTCCTACAGTCCCTTATACCTCTGAAGATATTCTTTAAAAGATTGGGGGACCCTAGAAAAGTGTTGGAGAGCACTGAAAACTGCTATCATGGCCCTTCAAGCCAGATGTGAGACACAGCTTCTGCACAGGAGTGGAAATCCTGAAACCAGTCCCTTATATTATGGTTGTATACATTTTCTCCAAAGCATTACAGTACCCCATAATATTATCTCATAGGATTTAAAATAACAGTGAGAACATTGTAAGGTAAATGTAGGAAAACAAAGTAAGTGTTCAAAATACTTTTTTGGATAAGAGTAGGTTTGAGTTCACAAGCAGAACTTTACAATTACAGTGGTACCTTGACATACGAGTTTAATTTGTTCCGTAACCTTGCTCGTATGTCAAATTGCTCGTATCTCAAAGCAATTTTCCCCATTGTTGGGGTCGTGTGCAGCGGTGTAGTGTGCGATTCCTCGTATCTCAAATCTTGCTCTCATCTCAAAGCAAAATATTGCTCGCTCGGCGGCTCGTATCTCAAAACACTCGTATATCAGGGCACTCGTATGTCGAGGTACCACTGTATTTGAAATAGACCAGATTATTATGCAATGAGCTCCTTTTTTTTTTTTTAAAGGGAAAATTGAATCATGAAATTCTGCAACTTATACTAGCATGTACAGCACATCATCTTATTTTGCATGAATTATTTTCTTCACCTAACAGTGGGGAGGAGAAAGCAGTTAAAAATGAGTGACATTCCATCTCTGATCATTGTATGTACACTGTCTGAGATTTCAACAACTTTTCCCGTTCCATGTTTAAAACCATCTCTGCATCCAGTTTCCACACTTGTGGAAAGACACATGGCTTTGGGAGTCATACTCTAAGCCTGACCAGACTTGTGTCCCAAGTTTATTCTCTTTAAGCAGCAGGAGCCAAAGCCTAGGAAAGAAAGACAACATCCTTCCCTAGTTTAAGTACTGGCAGATCATTTGATCAAACATGTCAGAATATACACTACTGTGTGTATGTGTTTGAGAGAGAGGCAGTGTGGTGTAGCGATTTGAGCACTTGACTATGACTCTGGAGACCAGGGTTAGATTCCCAGCTCAGCCATGAAAACCAGCTGGGTGATCTTGGGCAAGTGACATGCTCTCAGCCTCAGAGGAAGGCAATGGCAAACCCCCTCTGAAGACGCTTGCCAAGAAAACCCCATGATAGGTCACCTTGAAGGCACACAACCTTGGTGTGTATGTAGTTGACCTAAATACCCTAAAGCAGAGATACTCAAACTTTTTACCCTTAGAGCCCCACTTTACATCTATATGTGGACGCCTCTCCCCCCCCATACTCAGCATAGTATATGAATAAAAATATCTGATTTAGTGTGCATATTTTCATTCCCACATTAATGTACATTCATATTCTAACAATTTCTAAGGAAGTGGCACCGTTCACACTGGAAGAGTTTTATTCAATATTTAACTCGACACATGTGTAAAATATTACATATAAAAATGTTTGGGAGGAAGAGGCATCAGGGCCCCCAAGCCTCATGTCTCCCTTGAGCAACTCCCCACTAAGGGTCCAGTCCCACCATTTCAGAACCACGGTCCTAAAATACCTTCTATCTTGGAAGTTAAGCAGGGTCAGCCCTGGTTAGTGCTTGGATAGGAGACTACCAACAAATACCAGGGGCTGTAGACTGTATTTCAGAGGAAGGAGCTGTCGAAACCACCTCTGAGGATTCCTTGCCTAAGAAAACCCTGTGAGATTCATGTGGTTGCCATAGGTCATGAGAGAAAAATCCAGCCCCCACCTCAACAATGGTACCCAAAGTATTTTCTGTTGCCACGTCAACAGAATCTTGCCAGATTAGGATTCTGTTGATCTGTTACTTTGGGTTACCATAAGCATAATAACCCACTGAGTGCCCTTGGACAAGTTACACTCTCTCAGCTTCAGAGGATGGAAATGACAAACCCTCTCTGAAGAAACATGCCAAGGAAACCCCATGACAGGTTCACTTTAGGGTTGCCATAAGTAAAAAATGACTTGGAGGTGCACAACAAGTTTGACAGGTGACCTGAAGGCATATATATATATATATATATATATATATATATATATATATGCACACACTCTCTCTCCCTCCCTCCTAAAACTTAGGCAAGTCACAACCTAGAAAGACACATTTTCTCTCTATATATTTATATATTTATATATAGTCGATATACATGTTCTCTCTCTCTCTAGTAAAACTTAGGCAAGTCACAACCTAGAAAGACATATTTTCTCTATATTTATATATAGTCGATATACATGTTCTCTCTCTCCCTCCTAAAACTTAGGCAAGTCACAACCTAGAAAGACATATTTTCTCTATATATATTTATATATAGTCGATATACATATTCTCTCTCTCTCTCTCTCTCTCTCTCTATATATATATATA